GCAGGAGGGGAAGACCCTCTGTGAGGTGGATTGATTCAGTGACTGGGATAATGAGATGGGTATGTCAGAGGCAGTGCGATTGGCACAGGATAGAGCAGGGTTTAGGGCTGTTGTACGTAGGGTCGCTATGAGTTGCAAATGACTCGACGGCACATAACAACAACAACAACTACCCAGTGGAGTGAAAGCACAGGGCTGGGGAAGACCTGGGGTCTGCATAACTCAGTTCTCCTCAGATTTGTCCACTTAGTTGAGGCACAGAAACTGCAGCTTACTTGTGGTCAGTGGGCCACAAATTCACAATTCCAGCTTCAGGGGACCCTCTTAAACACCTCTCTTCTTAGGGAGACGCAGCCTGTACTGACCTCACATGTCCCTGTGTGCCCCGTCCTTCCTCTCCCCACCATCCTATTGTTGTTTGATACTATCAACTCAGTTATGCCTCATAGCTACCCTATGTTCCACAGACCTAAGCCCGGCCCAATTCTGCGCCATCCTCTTATTCTCCGCTAACCTTGAACCCACGGTTGCCGGCACTGCATCAGCCAATCTCATTAGGGTCTTCCTTTCCTTTGATGACATTTTACTTTCCCAAGTATCAAATTTGATGCTGGCCTGATAAAAGTAGGGGGCACAGTGGTTGTAGGTCCTTTTATGAACATCGAGCACGCTGAACCCCTTTTCTCATCAATAAAATAGGGTGGCAGTACACCAGCCTCTGGGGGATGCCATGAGGAGTGAGTACATGTCTGCCAAATGCTTGGTTCTGTGCACCTCACCTCCTGCTTTTGCTATTGCTCTCCAACCTCTAAGGAGCCGTAATAGTGTGTGGGGGTTAAGTGTTGAGCTGCTAACTTTTCAGTTAGCAGTTTGTACCCACCAGATGCAGCTATCTGACAAAAAGATTTGGCTCTCTGCTCCTATAATGACTTACAGCCTCCGAAACTCATAGGGTAACTCTGTAAGGTCACTAGGATGGAAGGTCACTGTGAGTTGGAATCAACTTGTTAGGAGCAGAGAGAACAAAGAAAAATGTGGTTGTGAAGGTCCTGGAAAAAAACAAGAGATAGAATCCAAGCAGGAGACAACAGAACAAATTAGCTGATGTCAACAGTTGACTCATCCATCTGGAGTCAATGAACTTCTACCAAAGGCCCATCTCAGCAAAGACCATGGCTATTGAAAAGAGTTCAGGAGGCCCAAAGGCTATGCAACCAGACAGCATTGGAGAAGGGGCTCGTTCGTTCTCACCTCTCTTGAGGATAGACTCACGCTCCTTTCTTGGGAGTGAATCATTTTTACTTAATAATGTTTACTCTGTGTATTGCTCTTACTTGATAGTCTACTCTGTCTCTATTCTTCTGTGTTGCATGCTCTTTTTGTTTGTTTGGTTGGTTTGGGTTGGTTTTTTCTGTTGTTTGTTTGTTTGTTTTCACTTCATTCACCTTTGGGAAGCAATCCATCCAGATTTCACCCGGCTAATGTCTAGGCCCAGGGAAAGTTTCCATTTCCTAACATGAGGTCCTGGAAACACCCTGTGTTCTAATTCAAGGATCGGGGAAACTCCTGCTACTCTAACACAAATCAAAGGTAGTGGGTTTGGGTTTTGGTAGTTGTTTTTTAGTATTTATAGTTATAGTTATATTTGTATATTTTTTTTTCTTTTTGTGTGAATAGGTGGCAGTTTTCAGTCATGTTCCTTGTTGGAATCACCTGGGGAGTTTGTTAAAGGCCAAAATCAAACCCAAACAGCAGTACTGCTCACTGCCTGTCCCTCACTGAAGACTTGCTTCAATCTGAGCACGATGGTCTTAAGGTCCCAGGTCACACGAGTAAGTGGCAGTTAAGAGCAGTATTCTCAGTTCTTCAAGGCTGACACCGTCTCCTGTCTTGTCCTCATCAAGCCAGCTAGCTGCTAGGTATAGAGCTCAGCACACACGCATCTCATCCATTGACCAGGCCCAAGCTAAGAGGTCACAGCCGATGCCTTTCCCTTCCCAGCTTTGAATGAAGGATGTCCCTTACCTTGGAGCCCTTTGTTCACTGTTGCCAGCCGCCCCACCTTGGGCTGGAGGCCCCATGACTGCTGGGGGCTGGAAGCCGGGCTCTGAAGTCAGCCTCAGTCCCTCCTCTGCAGTCTGAGAGCCACGTCTGCTGGTCAGTGCCCCATGTTCTGCTCCTGGTGCAGTTTCTTGACTGGTGAAGACCTCACTGGCCCTGACAGGGCCTGTAGGCAATTCCAGACCAGGCCTAAGGCTCTTGCTCACTGTCTTAGGAGCTCTGGCTTCCACTTCCACGGGCAGCAAAAGGTGGTCAGAGGCCACCTGGCCCTGCCCAGGGACTCCATCTCCTTGCCCCGGTGAGGTCCCAGCCTGAGTGAGGAGGTCTGCCTTCAGCCCTGAAGCATGGATGAGAGGTAGCCACTCCACTGCCCCTTCTGGGGGCTCTGTCTTCTGGCTCTCTATGGCGAAAGAAGTCAGATAAAAACATGCTGTTAGAAACAACCCAAGTGCCCATCAAAAAACGAATGGATAGAGAAGCTCTAGTATAGTCACACAATGGAATACTATGCTGCATTGAAAAACAAGGAACTCATGAAAAAAATGGGTGACCCTGGAGGACAGTACGCTGAATGAAATATCTCTGTCACAAAAAGACAAATATGGCATAATGCCACTGTTTAAAAGAGGACCAACATAGGGGTTGGGGGGAGACTAAGAAAGATGGGATAAAAAAAAATGTATACTGCATTGAAACAGATGAGGGAAAGATCTGTTTAAAAGGGATATGTGATTAGATATTATTGTTATGACAGGAGTCCAAAATGAAGGTAGCATAGTGGAGTGGACTTGGGGAGGGATTATAATAATGAAAGAATTTTTCTTTTACTTTTCAAACAGAAAAGCAAATTGGGGGGAGGGGTAGGCAGGGAGAAAAGTGCCACAATGAATGAATGGAAATCCAAATTCTTTGTAAACTTTCATTAAAATAAATTTAAACACAAAACAAAACAAAAAACGTGTTGTTAAGAAGCAGACCCCCATGGAAGAATCCATCCCAGAGATACTGTGAAGAACATGCACAAAGCCTTGCAATGCAGCATCACTGTTCATTAGAACCAGACACAGTGCTCAACTCAGATGGTCAGCGGCAGGGCTGTCAACCGAACACACCCACGATGGAGCACCACACAGTCATACAAAAGGAACACACCCCAAGAAAATGAGAAGTGAGGCTCAAACAGAGACTTGTACACCAATGTTCACAGCAGCGTTATTCACCATCACAAGAACATGGAAACAGCCCAGATGCCCAAGCACAAATGAATGGATTGAGACATTGTGGTACATTCACACAATGGAATATTAATTTTGTAAATTATCACCTAACCTGGGGGAGACTGGAGAGCATTATGCCGAGTGAACTAACTCAGTGTCACAAGGACAAATACTGTATAAAACCGTAATTGTAGGATCCAAGTGGGGTGAGGTAGGGAGTAGAGGGGTGAGGGGCGAGAGGCAGGGTGGGGTGTTAATCATAGGGTTGCACAATTTGATGGGGGGGGTGAAGGAAATGGGAAGGATCTTTTGTGAAAAACAATGTATTCAAACTTTTTTAATAAATCAAACTTTGTTAATAAATCAGTATAAACTTTAAAAAAAGAAAAGAACTGATTATACACAGCAATGGAGGGGTCTCGGGATATACTGTAGATGACAAGTAATGTGTGTTTCTGTCTAAGGGGAGACAGTGAGAGAGAGGAACGGAATTATTGTGGTGAAAAATCATGGAAACATTGGCAGTTTTTTTCTAAAGTGTTTATGAATTAGGTAGAGAGGAAGCAGGGAGCAAGGAAGGACGGAAACGAGACAGAAGTGTTGTTACTGTTCGTTGCCGTCAGGTTAGGTATGACTCGGCAACCCTGTGCTGAACTGTCTTAGACTGCGCCATCAGGATCTTTGGCGTGCTCACATCCATTTCTGCTGTCATTGTGTCAGTCCGCCTCGTTGCTGTGTATATCTGAGAGCTGGACAATGAATAAGGACGATGGAAGAAGAATTGCTGCCTTTGAGCTGTGATGTTGGAGAGGAGTACTGAACATCCCACGCACGGCTAAAAGTACAAATGGAAGTGTCTTGAGAAAAGTGTAACCAAAGTGCTCCATGGAGGCAAAGATGATGATGCTTTGCCCCTCATACTCTGGGCATGTTGCTTGGGGAGCGTCCTCTTTGGAAAGGGACATCATGCTTGGAAAGGTGGAGGGTCAGCCTAAGTGAGAAAGACATAACCAGACAGCTCTCTGTAGACCCCGTTTTGTCAATTTGTCTCCAGAACTGTATAAAGACTGCAAATTAATTTTTTAAATGATGCTATAATAATTGGATATAAAAACGGAAAGCAACGTGGAATGAAATAAGCATTGAATATGGAATAAAAGCCAAAGTCTGACTCTCTGGATATGCATAGAGGACACACGAACGGAGTGGGGGGAAGCGCGCCTGGTTCTCCCGTCGTCCTGCTGTTTGGAGGTGGTGCTGCTGTTTTCTCTCTTCCCTGACTGTCCTGCCCGTGAGGTGGGTAAAGCCAGGAGGGCCCACTCACCTGCCCATGGCTCCTTGCTTCGGGCGTGTGCGCTTCTGGAGCTCAGCACAGGCTTTGGTTTTGCCCCCTTCTCTTCCGCTTTCTCTTTGTTCTGAAATAATCACCATGACAACTATTACCGTCAGCAACACACAAACATTTGTTGCTCAACTACCAAGCACTTAAGACAGAGAGTCTCGGGTTATCTGCTGTCACACAATGAATGATGTTGTTAGCTGCTGTCATGCTCGCCCCACGGGCAGCAAGACCAAAACGCTGTGATGAAAAGGGTTTCAGTGGCTTATTTTAGGAGGTAGGTTGTCAGGCCTTTCTTCTAAGTCTGTTACTGGAAACTGCTTAAACCTGCATCTTGGCCTCCATAGACAAACAGGGGTAATTGTGTATGACGTGCATTGGCTAGGAATCGGGCATGGGTGTCCTCTGTAGAAGGTGAGAATTCTGCCACTGAACCGCCAGTGCCCTAAAAAAAACAAAACAAAACCAACAAACCAAAATCCAGTTGCGATAGGGATGATTCCAGCTCATAGCAAACCCAGGTGTAGCACAGGAGAACTGAACTTCACAGGGTTTTCAGGGTCAATTTTCTAGAAATAAATACCCAGGGTTTCTTTCAAGGAGTCTTGGAGTAAACGTGAACTTCCAACCTTTCAGTTAGTAGATATTATCATTACCATGTTGGAAGCTCTGGTGGCCTAGTGGCAAGAAGCTGCACTGCAGTTTCAAAGCCCAAAGGCAGGCGGTTCGAATCCACCAGGTGCTCCATGGGAGAAGGGTAGGCAATCTCCTCCAGTGTGATTTACTGCCTCTGAAAACCCACTCGAGGGTTAGCTGTGAGTCGGTTCCAACTCAGCAGCACACAACAGCAACAACAACGTTAGAAATAGACACTGAAGCTCTTCAAAGGCCATAAACTCAAAAGAAGAAGAGTCTACTTTTGGAGCCAGAGCATAGTGTTGCTGGTGAAGGGTAGGTGTAGGCAAACTGGACTTCAGAAGACCTAGGCTGGGCATGGGGAAGAAACTTGTACTTAACATGCCATCTCTGACCACTGTCTGTGACTACCACAGTGTTGGTTTAGTAGCATTCTAAAGGCAAAGAAATCCCTGCTTGGGGAAAAGTGCTCTGATCGGTTGATAATGTCTGCTTTGGAGCTGACTGGGCAGAGTCTCACAAGTACCTCTTAACACTAGCAGTGGCTTGGAGATGGGGCAGGCTGGGTGCTCCTTGGAAGCTGTTAGGAGGTACCAGTTCTTGAAAAAGGCCCAAGTGTAGCGGAGATGTTAAGGGTGGCAAAGGCTAGAGCAGGGTTCAGAACCCCACCGACGATGTATCTGAACCCTGTTCTACCCTCTTCCATCCTCAACATCTCTGACCTTCTTATTGTTCATAGGGCCGCTATAAGCCATAGTCAGCTTGATGGTAGCTAACAAGAACCAACAACAACAGTAGTAGCCAGGGGAATGGACTCTCAAGTCAAACCTGCCGAGTTTGAATCTCACCTTCACCACTTGGCCAAGTACTTAGCTTCTCCATGACTCACTTTTCTCCTGTGTAAATTGGGATAATCTACCTGGTAGAATTAGTGAGAGGATGAGTAGAGATAAAAGGAGCCCTGAGTGCCCAGCACATAGTGAATGTCCAGTCACTCTGGTAATGCTGTTCTGCCCGGGACAGGGCACTGTCCGTGTTAAATGTGTGAGAATGCCCAGCTGAAGGCATCACACACAGACACCATCAGCATCCCTTGGCCAACTCTGGTCTTCACACCCTAGACCAGAGCCAGGCATGCACGTTGACCCTGAGCAGTCCTGATACTGATTGCTCCGGCATTACCTACAGTGAGCTCTCAAGCAGATATATTTCTAGGTGGACTAGCCCCTGACTGGACTCCCTTGATACTTCTGGGGGTTTTGAGCCTTTGGCTAGTGAACTTTCTACAAACGCCCCCTGGTATTTGTCACAGAAGCATGTCTGACCCCACGTCTTGTAGAAGTCACCACCAAAAGACATTGTTCTTGGCTTTGCCACCAAAAGTGGGGAAAAGCTAAACCCATTGCTTTCAAGTCAGTTCTGACCCATGGGGACTCCCCGTGTATTACGGAGTGGAACTGTGCTCCGTGAGCTATAATCTTACTGGACTGTAATCTTTATGTCAGCAGCTTGCAACCTTAGATGATCAGATAAGTACAAACTGTTTGTGTCACTCAGGGACAATGACTTTGCCACAAAAGGCCTTAACAGTTAAAATAGTTCCCCATTTCAAGGCCAGAGGCAGTTCAAGGGTAAAATTTATTTTTTTTTTAAGGAGGCCTGCAGAGTTTTTAAGATTTTAATTTTTTTTATCAATCTTTAAAATTTAGAAAATCATACATTAAAATCCAAGGCTTTGTTTAAAAGTGATAGGTATATAAACTTATTAGTCTGTGTACTTAAAGCTCTGGTGGTGTAATGGTTAAGGAGTTGTGCTGTCCACCCTAAGAAAGGCAGTTTAGCTTTTCAGTCGAGCGCTGAGTGGTTTGTTCGAACATGTCTGGTGGCTCCGCTGATTACAACAGCAGAGAACATGGCAGCCCTGAGGGAATGGACCCCGATGGTGTCATCGAGAGCTACTGGAATGAAATTGTTGATAACTTTGATGATATGAATTTAAAAGAATCCCTTCTCCGGAGTATCTATGCTTATGGTTTCGAGAAGCCTTCAGCTATTCAGCAGAGAGCTATTATTCCCTGCATTAAAGGGTATGATGTGATTGCTCAAGCTCAGTCAGGTACTGGCAAGACAGCCACATTTGCTATTTCCATCCTGCAACAGTTGGAGATTGAGTTCAAGGAGACCCAAGCACTAGTATTGGCCCCCACCAGAGAACTGGCTCAACAGATCCAAAAGGTAATTCTGGCTCTTGGAGATTATATGGGAGCAACTTGTCATGCCTGCATTGGTGGAACCAATGTTCGAAATGAAATGCAAAAGCTGCAGGCTGAAGCACCACATACTGTTGTTGGTACTCCAGGGAGAGTATTTGATATGTTAAACAGGAGATACCTTTCCCCAAAATGGATCAAAATGTTTGTTTTGGATGAAGCAGATGAAATGTTGAGCCGAGGGTTTAAGGATCAAATCTATGAGATTTTTCAAAAATTAAATACGAGTATTCAGGTTGTGTTACTTTCTGCCACAGTGCCAACTGATGTGTTGGAAGTAACAAAAAAATTCATGAGGGTTCCAATTCGAATTCTGGTGAAAAAAAGAAGAATTCGACCCTTGAAAGAATCAAACAGTTTTATATTAATGTTGAAAGAGAGGAATGGAAGTTGGATACACTTTGTGACCTGTATGAGACACTGACGATTACACAGGCTGTTATCTTTCTCAATACAAGGTGCAAGGTGGACTGGCTCACTGAGAAAATGCATGCTAGGGACTTTACAGTTTCTGCACTGCATGGTGACATGGACCAGAAGGAAAGAGATGTGATCATGAGGGAATTCCGATCAGGGTCAAGCAGGGTTCTGATCACCACTGACTTGTTGGCACGTGGAATTGATGTTCAACAAGTATCTTTGGTTATAAATTATGACCTACCTACCAATCGTGAAAACTATATTCACAGAATTGGCAGAGGGGGTCGATTTGGGAGGAAAGGTGTGGCTATAAACTTTGTTACTGAAGAAGACAAGCGGATTCTTCGTGACATTGAGACTTTCTACAATACAACAGTGGAGGAGATGCCAATGAATGTGGCTGACCTTATTTAATTCCTGGGATGAGATAGTTCTGAATTGTTTTGTTCGCTGTTGCTGAATAGGCGATCACAACGTGCATTGTGCTTCTTTCTTTGGGAATATTTGAATCTTGTCTCAATGCTCATAACGGATCAGAAATACAGATTTTGATAGCAACACGACTTTGTCGTGAGCTCTTGTGAGGAAAGTCATTGGCTTTATCCTCTTAGAGTTAGACTGTTGGGGTGGGCATAAAAGATGGGGTCTGTAAAAGCTTTCTTTCTTAGAAATTTATTTCCTAGTTATGTAGAAATGGTTGTATTAGATGTTCTCTATCATTTAATAATATATTTGTGGACTAAAAGATATAAGTGCTGTATTAAATCAGCCAATTATGTTAAACTAGCATACCTGCCTTTATTGTGTTTGCCCTTAGCCTAAATAGAAAGGCCTTTAAAATAGTTTTTTTAGAATGCATTTGAATGCATTTTGCTTGATATTTATTCAATAAAATATTTAATTAGTGTTAAGTGTGAACTGGACCCTGTTGCTAAGCCCCAGCAAGCAATCATATCCTAGGTAGGGTTGAACCTCCAGTAAAATTGCCATATTGCACATGTCCTAATGAAATGAAGTTTGAATGTTAAATAAATTGTATATTCACTTTAAAAAAAAAAAAAAAAGAAAGGCAGTTTGAATCCACCACTTGCCCTGCAGGAGAAAGGCAGTCAATCTTCTCCAGTGTGATTTACAATCTCTGACAAGGCCAGAGAGTCACCTATGAGTTGATCCAAAGGCAATGAGTTGTTACTGTATATTTATGTGTAAGTCAGTTTATTGTATGCAAGTTAAACCTTAACAAAACTGGTTGAGAAAAAATTTGGGTTCACAGATTCTCTGAAAAATAAAAAGAGCTGGCAGTAATGCACACCCATGTTTATTGCTGCATTATTCACAACAGCAAAGAGATAGAAGCAACCCAAGTGTCCATCAACAAATGAATGGATAGAAAAACTATGGTATATTCACACAATGGAATATGACACAGCACTGAAAAGGAACTTGTAAAATAGTACATAACATAGGTGATCTTGGAGGACATTATGCTGAGTGCAATATCTCAGTATAAAAAGGACAAATACTGGATAACACCAATGTTATAAAACAGGACTGACATTGCAGTTAGGGAAAAATCAGAAAGGATAAATAATGAACACTGCATTGGAACAGAAGAAGGAACGAACTGTTTAAAAGAACTTCTTTTTAAAAAATTTTTTTCCTTGACATTTCACTTTATTTCTTTTGTTAATATTTTTCATTTTAATTGAGATTTTAACAAAAGTTTATAAAGAACTTAGATTTCCATTCA